GGAGTTACGGAGGACAACTGACTGATTCGACAATAGGCCGCAAGAGAGGATGATGCGCCGAAGAATCGGAAGAAGCGTCGGGGACCAAAGACATACCGGACAATATGATTCAAGCTTTGTAATAATTGTCTAGATCGAATTAGGTTTTATTTGTGCAGGATTAACTACGATAGCGATTAAGGAATAAAGCAAAATGAAGTCCTAGAGTCAAGAACGAGCTTTCGTTGGGAGTTCGAGAGTTCGTCAAAAGTTTGGACGTTCGTCGGAAGTTCTACCGAAATTGATTGAGAAGTCCAGGAGCTTGCCAAAGAAGCTCGTCGGAACTCGCCAAGAAGATCGTCGTGAATTCCAGGAGCTTGCCGGGAGTCTACTGAAACATTGTCGAGAGATTATCGGAAGTTCGTCGGAAGATCGTTGGAAGCTCGCCGGAAGAAACCTAGACTAACCGGACCAGATTTACTTAGTGTATGTCTTAAATTTCGTAGTTAGCACATAATTGGGATTGGCATTAGGCCAACCCAATTAAGGCTAGTTGGCCCCATGTATGGACTGTGTTGGGCCTAATGAAAGGCCCAAACAGTAACCTAATAGGTGGCACCGTCGTGGCACAGTCTCCGAGATTGTGTTAGACTGTCAAGTGATGGTACCACCAGTCTGGGTAGTGGTACCGCCCAGTGTCAGTGTCAGGCAGTGAAACCGCCAGTTTGGGCAGTGGTACAGCCCAGACATAGTCTCCCAAGTAGTAGTACCGCCAGTTTGGGCGATTGTTCACGCCCAATATCAGTGCTGCAGGCGGTGGTACTGCTCGGCACAAACGGTGGTACCTCCAAGACACGGGAAATCCGGGATGAGACATTTTTTGGCTCCAATTTTAAAGCCAATTGAGGGCTATAAATACCCCTTACTTCTCAACTGGTAAAGAAAGAGCAGTGATAAGAATTGATCCCATACTATAGTGGAATCATGGTATATAATTTCGAATAGTATCGCTCGGTACGAGCGATACGTACCGATCCGACGACATACCAGTACGCGAACCGCCCGCTACCAGACGGAACGTGCTACAGTGCTATACTGTAGCACTGCTACAGTAGAGGAAGAACTATTTAAAACCACTCGGTACGCCCTGGTGTACCGAGCGATACACGCTGGTGTACCGAGCAGTACACGGTACGGTACCGTACCGTACCGATCCAACCTCGAAACATCAGTACGATACGGTATTGTATACCTTGAGTGAAATAACTTGCAAAAGTTGAGAGTTCACCTCCATCATTTCTAAGTGTAAAAGTTTGTAAAAGGAGAGTGAGCCACTTGTGAAAGTTCTGTAAAGGGGTGATTGATCTTTGCCCTTCAAGAAAGATCAATAGTGGAAGCCGATGACCTTATTGGAGGAGGTATCGGGAGTGGATGTAGGTCGGACGACCGAACCACTATAAAATTAACGTGTTCTTCTCTGGTTTGCATTTCTATTGTTGCCATTTGCATACTGCAATTTGCTTTACTTATTCATTATGCTTTCATATACTTTCAAGTTAAGTATCTTTATGATATCGATTTTCATTAAACGAAATATTTTTTAAGCTAATGTTTTTACCGCTGCACTAATTCAACCTCCCCTCTTAGTGCCGACTCGTTCCTAATACTAAGTACGACCTAGTTCACGTGGGTCAGATATGACCTCAACTCATGTGTCTAGGTACAACCAACTCACGAGCCAAGCATGACCCAATTTGGTGGTAAGGCTCAGCCCAACTTATGAGTGAGGCTTCGCCTAGTCCATGAAGTTAAGCTCGTCTAGCTAAGCGATTGACATTAGACACATTGTCGCTCCTCTATCTAGCCATTGTACCTCAACTTAACCTATTACTTAGAACAGACATGTGCAGCGCATGTGACTCGTCCAAGACTCAAGTGGGTTGGTTCGGTTTGGGATTAGCACCATATGACAGTCCTTTATTGGTTTAAGATCGTTAATTGACTAAAACAGACAGGTTTGATCGGTTAAAGTCAGTTTAAGATGATTTCATACTAACTTGACTAGTTTAAACCTATTTGACCTAATCAAAATCAATCAAATCTAAATTAGACCAATCTAGGGTGATTCCAGATCGATTCTATAAGAATTTGAGGTCGATTCCATTAGGTTATAAACGAATTAAGTTTGGTCGAAGTCAATTAAGCTATTCCAATTAGGGTTTTAGCTGATTGAGACTATTAAGAGATTGATGTTTCATGTCTTTGTAATTTGATGAACTTAAAGGTTTTATCTAAATATGTCATTTGAAAATAATTATTAGTTTTTTACTTTTCCTAAGTTTATGATATTGATATGATTGTTACCATGTAGTCGATGTGACTCGGCTAGTGGTTCACATTGGAAGTGCAACCAATGAAAGGAGCTGTAGGCCCATCATAATATGGAGCCACCAATGAAGATTATCTAATAGATCATACATCAAGCATGATCTTTCATAATATTTGATCATATTGATTTCTTAATGCATATGTGAGTGAATAGATGAATATAAATGAATGATTATGAATGTTTATGTATCCTTACCAAGGGCAGGAATGATGATTCCTTTCGAGAATTAGCGGGCCATTAGACTGATGGTTAGATGGTTCCTTCATTCGCTGTTGGGAGGAACATGTCCCCACTTAGGCGGGTGATGAATACTACTCCATCCACTGTTGGGAGTGCGATATGGATTATCTCTATCCGTTGTTAGGCGGAATTCATCCCGTAGAGTTTGCCTCTCCATCCACTATTGGGAGAGTGCACCATCGAGTGTGATATATACTTTTGTTATCTAGTTATTATGTATGTGTTGCACATGGCTAATGCATGATTTTATTTATTATGTAAGAAATTATCATCGTTTTATTTATGCGTAAGTTTTATGATGAATCGATATATTATTATTTTTATTAAATTATTGACATTTGTTTCACAAATATTAAAGATTATTTTCATGATTTTTCCGAGGTTCCTACTAGCATGTGTGGGTGCTGATATGTTTTTACCTTATATTTATTTTCAGAGTAATCTACAACTTTGTAATAGATATGAAGTTTAGGTGGAAGAGACTTGTGACCCTACCAAGAAGATGTGATCCTTTTTTTAGTTAATAGAATATTTACTATTGTAAAGACAAGGATTTAAATTCAAGGATGAAGAAAAACGAGGGGGGGGTGGGATGTGTGTATTTTGTAAATTATGAATAATAATAATAAAATTATGATTTATTACATTTTATAAATTTGGAGATGCGATAGGCACATTTACACTAGAGATTATATTTAGTGATTCAATCACATCCAACTACAGAGGCTATCAGATTCTAATTCAAGTCATATGTCCAAGAATCACATTCTAAAAAAGACTAACCACTACAAACGGCAGAGATAGTATACTTCAATTATCACCATATGATGTAAATACATGACATTTAGCACTCTAGTTGATGTAGCACCAATATCTATGCTCTGGCATCACTTTGAAGGCTCAATTACCCATTTAACAAAATATTCACATAATTGAGGCCAAATATACATAATGTTCTGTAACAAATTGACTTTGAATCAAGAGAGAATAATTTTAATAGGAAAGTTAGTTTATGGCATTAAATTTATGACATGACTTAAATAGAAATTCCCTGTTATGTTATTCAGGCTTTTCTTATAACATTTCTGCTGCAGACAAAAGTTAGATACATATATTGTCTAAGTTTCAAACCAGAGAGGTACAGCACACAGTTTCATTTTACATCACTCAAACTATCTATTTATAGATTTATACCAAAACTGAGTGTTGAAATTATTATTTTAGTATATACAAATTTCAAGTCTGACAAACATTGTAGAAATGCTTAGATGTTGTCCAAGGAAAGCATTTAAAAGTGGTATGCAGTTTGAGGTGAAAAATAACAATGTATAAGTGGAAAGGCCATTGATCATATGAATTAACTGTGAAATAGCAAGTCTAATCTAGGAATGTTGTCCCATCCATCGCTTATGAATTGGATTTCTTTAAAATATATTTCTACACTTAAGAATTTTCAAACACCGACTTTCGCCTTTTCCCCTTTCATATTTGCCTCTCATTCCATTGACAACAACATTATTTCCAAGCATTTTCTACCTATTTGTCCATGTCCCACATTTCTTCATGCTTTACCAAGCCCCTTTGTTCTATTATATTCTTTCTATATTTTGTCTTGTTTTCTAATTGTAAAAGTTTTTTCTCTATTTTGTCTTGTTTTCTAATTGTACACATCCTTTTAGTTGGATCTTCTGTCATCCTTTTCTCTTGTTTCCCGTATTCATTTTGGTATCATTCTAACAGTAGCAGCCATTAATCTTAGAGACTTTTATTATAGGAACTTTTGATGCCAAGATCGTAGAATACTTCCAAAGCAAAATTGCACAAACAGAACACAAACAAATAGAGCCTACTTGAGTGTTGAAAAATTGTATCTCGAAAGAGAGGATTAGAAGCAAAGAGAGCATACTTAATTGTGGCAGTTTGAGTCACCTAAATCTTGGTTTCTTTCTCAAAGTTATAAAGCTCACTCTTCAATTTTTTTTTTAAACCTTAATTTAAAAAAGAAAAACCAAGATGGGGAACCAATTGGGAAGTCTATGTATTTGTATACTGTGTACATAGACCATAAGATCACAAAATTTTTAGTAAGAACTAAAAAAATAAATGCGGAGAACAACTTGGGCAGCTTAATTATTCAAGCTTTTTTATACAAAAGACCGCAAGATTGATGATTTATTTTTTAAATTACTTCAAATTATTCAATGCATATTAAGATCCTCGTGTCAACACATTCCAGAATATGCATTAATTGACAACAGAGACATCTAAATTATCCACCATAAAGAAGGCATGTCTATGAGGTACAAAAACCAAAAGAGCACCTAAAAAAATACAGAAAAATATATGTCAGCAAAAATGGAATCAAAATGATCCAAACAGCTAAAATCCATACCTTTAGCACCATTGCTATCTATTTTTGGCAATCCATGGACCTGCAACCTGGTCTTGATCACATCCAATGGGCAAACAAAAGTAGCCGCAATGGCACCTATCCGAAAATTCCAAACTCCACCATGACCATATCAAATAATCCAATAAAAACTTATGTTCGCATAATAAGATGGGGAAATTAAAGATTTGGGAGTACCAGCGGAAGCGCCGGCGGCGGCGTGGCAGAGGAGTCCTCTGGTCGTATGGCTATGGGTCTCGGTCGCCATCGAGGGAATTCGTGCCGAAGACGGATCGATAGAGGCAGGGGCACCAACCGAGAACTTGGATTTCCTCTCTCGGGAGGGGCGTAGCGGAGATCCAGCGTCGCATGGGCTCGAGAGCCAGAACCAAGGAGCTCCTCGCAAGGACTCAACCGGAGCGAGAAGGATCGAACAGCAGGTAGAAGATCAAATTAGGGTTCCGATCGGATCGAGGGACTGCGGAGCGACGCCATTATCGGAAGGCCTTCTCGTCCCCTTCCTCCATCTCCTCCTCACGTCCCTCGTAGGCTGTTTCCAACGGAGGCTGTCACATGATGCGCGAAGAGGGGACGATTGGATTAGGAAGCGACATTGGTCGTTGGATTCGATCCCGACGGCTGCTGGGAAATCCTGAAGGACTATTTTAACGGACGCGATGAGTCGCTGCCGTCCGTGCTCGGATCGCCTGCTTCTACTCGAGCAGGAGACTCTCAATTCACGGTGCGGGAATTACAGGAATTGGCCGTGATGGCTGCGGTTACCGGGATTCTTTTCGTGGATTTCGACAATTCGCTCACCGACGCGTGTGAACATTTCTTTGGGACCCGCCAGAATAGGACAGATTGCACGGTTTCTGTGGTTGGGAATAACCCCCAATGATGTGGTACTGGGAGCTGATACGTACGTGGCCCAATGTGGCGGCTTTGAATCGTCACACAAGTAACAACTGTTCTTATCACAACGGATCGGACATCATTTTGGTGAAGCAACCAAAAGATGAAATCGTAGTTTTAATATGTTGTCGAAAAAAAATAAAAATAAAATATATTTAACTTATAACCTCTTTGTCAAGCTTTGGATTAAAAAGATGGAGGTGATCTTTCTCATAAAATTATATATTTGTATTAGTTTTATAGCATTCCTCCTAGCGTGCGCGTTCTCACTTTCTCATTAAAAAGAATCATTCATAGTTTTTTGCTAGACAAAAACCAAAGTAGTTTCTGCAATTAACTCCTGATTTGATTGAATTTGTGTAGTGTTGGAGGCTTAGCCATGCAATTGTTTTGATTGTAAAAAACTGTAATGGCCATGCACACAACCAATTCAATAAAGATAAGACATGGTGTCATGGGGCAGATCGCATCACAATAGATCAAGTATTGTTGAAAACAATTAAGACATAATAACAGTCAACAAGCGACAACAAATTTTACTATGATTTAACATTATTTTAACTCACTTCTTTGTGCATACACAACTTAAGAATCATACTTAGTTGAAGCGATTTTTCCTTTTTTTTTTCCGCCTAAAAGTTCTGTTTTATTCTTCATATCACATATGTTATAATAAATTAATGGGGTTGATAAATATTTTTAATTAAAAATATGTTGTTTGGAGGATATGTTTGGAGGATAAGTTACTTGAAGCCTCACGAAAAAAGTTTTTGCTTGAAGAAGAAAAAACCCTTGACAATTAAGGGTTAGTTGCTATATAAATACAATATATTTTAAGATTTTGGTATTTAAGTTACAAAAGGAATTACTTTGAATACACTTTTTGATTTTTCACTAATAGATCTACAGAGGTTGAGGAAAAAATCTTCAACAAAAATCTTCAGCGTTTATCATCATATGATGTGTGGTTGGTTTCGAGTTTAAGCTCTAGATAAATAAAAAAAATATTTTTCTATTATTCTTGTACATTAAAAAATTAGATTTATTTTCATGAATATAAAAAAAATCAAAACTTGAAAATTTTTATTCACTATTTTATGTATATATATATATATATGATAAATTTGTTAAAAATGTTTCGAGTTTCCATTATTTCTTGCAAAATATTTTTCTTTTGTTTTATTCCCATATAATATCCCTTCCTAGTCATTTTTATTGCTTTACCCCTGGCGTATATCTCGCTTAATCACCTTCCACCCCATTGGGTTGCATTCATCGCCTTTTAAGCAATCACCTCCATAGTAATGCTATCATTGTATCAATCTATGCTTTACTTTATCATGACCTCCACAACGAATAAATATATGTATGAATGAATGTAAATGAATGATTATGATTGTTTATGTATCTCTACTAAAGGTAGATGGGATGATTCCCTTTGGGGATTAACGAGCTATTAGATGTGATGGTTAGATGATTCCTTTATTTGCTTTTAGGAGGAATGTGTCTCTACTTGGGCGAGTGAGGGATACCACTCTATTTACTATTGAGAGTATGATATAAGTTCTCTTCATTAGTCGTTGAAAGGAATATATCTCATAGAGTATGTATTTCTATCCGCTATTAGAAGAGTATATTATTAGGTATGATGTATATCTTATTAGAAGAATATATCTGATGTATGATTTTGCTTACAACATAAGAATTATTATTATTTTTATACATAAACTAATATATTATCATGTTATATTAAATTATGAATATTTATATATATTTCATGAGCACTAAAGATTATTTTGATGATATTTCAAAGGTTCTTATCAATATGTGTGGTTACTAATATATTTTTATCCTATATTTATTTTTAAAATAACCTATGATTTTGTAATAGATATGAGGTTTGGGTGGAGGAGATTTTTTCATCATTTATGAGAAGATGTGATTCTTTTTTTAATTATAAAAAATTAGTATTATAAAGATAGGGATTTTGAATTCAAAGATAAAAAGAGTTTTGTAAATTATGAATAATAAAATAATGATTTTTTTTTTATAAATATGGGATGTGACAATCTTTCATCTTTCGAAATACCTCTTTGTAACAGACATGAAAGTTCAACCTCAACCCCAATTTGTGAAGTAGTCAATGTTAGGATCAAGAACACTAAGAGGGGGGGGTGAATTAGTGCAGTGGAAATCTTTCAATGATAAAATACGTTCGAACGATAAAAACGATTTCAGTGTGAAAGCCGATCCTGAGATTACTTCAACTTAAGATCAAGCGAGATGATGTTAAAATCAATCTATGAAGACAGTTTGCAGTTATGATGAAAACCAGAATATAAGCGTAAACTGAAATACGACGTTCGTACGAAGAAACTGATTTACGTCTAAATGCTGATTCGTAAATCACTTGATTAGGCGAGATGCAGTTTAAGCAAGGATATAAAGGCAGTTTGCAGTTATGGTTGAAATCAAAACGTAAACGTAAACTGAAATATGATGATCGTACGAAAAACCAGATTTACGTCTAAACGCTGATTCGGAAAGTGCAAAGCTTAAAACCCGATTGTATATGCGCAGAAAGCAGTAAGCTTTAGAGGAGGTTTGCAGTAAAGATAATGTGCTCAAAGTAAATGCAAACCGAGATTTAGAGTGGTTCGGTCAATCTTGACCTACTCCACTTTTGGCTTCCTCCACCGACGAGGTCACCGACGTCAACTAGAGGCCTTCCTTCAATAGACGTAGGCCAACCACCCTTTTACAGTTTCACTCCTTTTGACGGGCTTAGGAGACATCCCTTACAAAGTTTTCTCTCCTCTCTTTACAACTCAGAACTTGGAAGAACAGAGGGAGAAGAACTTTTGGCCTTTACAATAATTTTGAGCTCTAAGAATCATAGAAAAAGATCAAGATTTCAGTGTAAGTTCATGCTCTTTCAGTGCTGAATGGGTGGGGTATTTATAGGCCCCAACCCAGTCCAAATTTGGAGCTCAAAACTATAAATTCCCGGAATTCCGGGATCAGGCGGTTGCACCTCCTGACTGGGGCGGTTGCACCGCCTAGCAGAGCTCGAAGACTGAGCCTCTAGGCGGTGCTACCTCTTGTCAGGGGCGGTTGCACCTCCTGACAGAGCTCGAAGACCGAGCTCAGGCGGTTGCACCTCCTGACTGAGGCGGTTGCACCGCCTGGCAGAGCTCGAAGACTGAGCTCAAGCGGTGCCACCTCTTGTCAGGGGAGGATGCACCACCCAGTCTCGCTTGGAGACTGAGCCCAGGCGGTGCCACCTCCTAGCTGGGGCGGTTGCACCGCCTAGTCTCGCTGGGAGACTTAGCCCAGGCGGTGCCACCTCCTGGCTTGGGCGGTTGCATCTCCCACAGCAATCAGGGTCCGAATGGGTTGATCCATTCGGCCCAATTTGGGTTTGTTTAGGGGCCCAATTGCCCTAAGATTAAGTTAATGGGATCACCTCCCATTTCCAACTTAATCATTATGCTAACTACGATAATTCCTAAGACAATTTCTGCAACTTGCTCCGGTGCGTCAATCGCTTCTTCCGGCGAACTTCCGGCAAACTCTTGGACTTGCGACGATCCACTTGGCGAGTTCCGACGAGCTTCTTTTGGCAAGCTTATGGACTTCTCGGATTTGTTCCCACAGAACCTTCGACGACTGTCCGAACTTCCGTCGAACTCTCGAACTCCCAACGTGATCATTATCTTGACTCCGACGCAACTCCTGCTGCATGTCTAACTTTCATCGTAGTTAATCCTGCACATGTAAACAAAGCTTCGATCGAGACAATTAATCCTAAGCAATTAACCAAGTTGTCCGGCATGTCATTGGTCCCTCGACGCTTCGTCTGATTCTTTGGCGCATCGTCCTTTCCTGCGGCCTATTGCCCAATCGGCCAGTTGTCTCCGCAACTCCGATATCCTTGGCACAATACCCGCTCTTCTTGGCCCGATGCCTGAGTCCACGACTCGAAGCCTTCTGTCGATACGTCGACCAATCCACCGGCCCGATGTCCAATCTTCTAACATGTTCCTCCGGTACAACATGATTTTCCTGCTTTAATTGTCTCATCCTGATCAAAGCATCCTGCGTCACTCAAAACACAGATTAAATCATAAACATATATTAAGTAGTTTCATCGTCAAAATACGAGATTCAACAATCTCCCCCTTTTTGATGATGACAACTACTTGATGACGGAGTTAACCTTAACTCCCGGAGTTTAAACAAACTCCCCCTATCAATATGCCATATTGATAGAACCTTGAATTCAAACTGAATTCAAGTCATTGCAATATTCATCATGAATACTTGCAACACGTCATCATGAACTCATGCATAAACTTATGCATAACATGTCATGTCATCAACATACTTCTCCCCCTTTGTCATCAACAAAAAGGAGAAGTACCACAATCAGTGTTTGTGATATTGGTTCAACTCATTGCATGAAAAACATAATATCAAGTTTTATCATCATGCAATTTTGAAGCCAGAAAATTTAGGAAATGTTACATTATGCTTAGAACATTCAAGCTATCAAGTTTTAGATATGCAAGTTTTACAGCATACAAGATAGCACTTTTAGAACATGCAAGCTAGCAATGTTACAACATTTTAGAACTTGCAAGCTAGCAATTTAGAGATGTTCAAGAAGGCAACTCTTGCTTCTTGAAATATGCAAGTTGCAAGCTAGCAAATTTTTGGTTCCTTTGCAATGTTAGCTT